GTCTTTCCCACACCACTAAAAGAGGCAGACATATTGCTCATCTGCATCTTTACGATGCTGTTGCTGACGACTCATTGGTCGACCTTCTTGAGGTATGGTATTTAGAAAGTAATGGACTTCCTTCTCCGGGTGACATCGTTCGAATTGCGCACTTTACCGGCTTGGGTGTCTTTCGCGAGGAGGCTTGTCAATTCAATACAAAGCTCGCTGATGTGCGTGTTGCTCAGCACGCAACCACTATTGACCAGCAAATTGCGGCGGATGTGGATGAAGAGAAATCTACGGTCGTCATCACGTAGTTCGGCTTGAAGATGAGGACGAGAGAAAGCAGGTACTGGAACTTCTTTCTTCGGATGGGAACACGAAAAGGAGACTAGACTAGGAAAGGGTTTTGAGTGCCTTTACGTGATGTTGCAGCTATCATTGGAAGTGATAAAGGATTCCCTGCATTGCGTGGGTTTAGTCGGTTGATTTAAACTCTTCGTTTTAACCAAACGATCCTTGCCATGGAATCATATTTATCTTTTTATTTATTTCCACACTGTGTGCATGTATTCACCCAGCCGAAATATACCACAATGTTGCGCGAACGGGGGGTGATTTTCGATTTATTACCGTAATTTACAGCTCGAGCGTAAATTTCAACGAATGTCGCTGGAGCATCGTGCAAGCAATGAGTACCTGGGTGATTCAGTTCTCGCTGGATATGAACTATTGCAGTTCGCTTTCTGTTGTGATACTATCGAAAATTCTACAGTCTACGACTTGAAGTTAAATTATCGCGACAGTAGGACCTTGGAACAACATTTTCTTGGATTGTTTATATTTTGTTGAAGGGTTATTAGACAATAGAGTTTTCTTTGAGCCACGAGTGTTCTTATAGTTTTCTGACTTTTCAGATTATAGAGTTTTGAGCGGAAAGTAGGATCGTTGATATACTCTGAAATAAACTTCAAAGAATTTTCAGCACATTTTACAATATTAAGTGTTTCCGTGCAGAGCTTTGGCGCAGCAAGCCAAAGTAAACTAACGGGTGCTTCATTCGTGACTACAAAGATCAGATGCATGCGAAGAAGATAAGTATGTACGTCAGCGGCATCAATCAGGCGCCGTCACAGACGAAATGTAACTTGGCTTCTTCGACGGGTAGTGGTTCTTGGAAATAAATGATTTTTTTATTTCTCGATGATGTGCAATAACTGTATTATTTACTACCGCCTTGCCTTATCATTCCACACCAGACCGATTGCTCTTGCGTCGCTCGTGCAGTCACTGTATTACTTATTCGTACCCCCTCCAATGTAACCCTTTCCGATCAAACTCAATAATCGCCCGGTAAATTTCGCCCACACTGGTTCTTCCAAATGATTTGGGTTCCCGGAACGGTGTTTCGGCCTTTCGGAGTATGTAAGATAACGAAATACTTAAAGAAAATTGGAATTGGGCGCTCTACTCTCGCCGAGGAGTGAAGAGAAGTAAATGAAATGCTCAGCTGAGTGGTGCTCATTTCAAGCTATTGCTGTTCTATTGTTTCTATCGACTCTAACGATTTCGCAAGGACATCGTAATAAGGAATAATCTGGACATTTTTTGCACAGCACATCATCATGTATTATAGCAACCAATTGGATGTCGGGTATGAACCACGTGTCCTGGGAAAAGACCTAAATCATGCTGATTTCCCAGTATACGGTATTTCATATATTAAGAATTCCGAACTCTCTGGAATTATCTCCAGATTAGAAAGGTAAAAAAACGCGCAATTTTTTTTAACTCACTCTCTAGTTTGCCGCGTTGGCGAATAGTAATATTGTGGATGATAAACGCGTTGACCATAGCGATATCAACTACCCCGATAAATATTGTCTTGTAGTATTTCCTCACGCGAATTTCTCGCTCAATTGAATATATCTGTAGAAGCAACTGGTTATGGATATCGACTCCACCCATCGCCTCATGATAGCCCCGAGCGATCGGAGAGCATGACGCCACGAATACAGAGCCATTAAGCTCCCTGCAGCTGACAGGTGCTTGCTGCGTCGTGCAACTTGTCACTAGAAACTTCACCGGCTTGTTATTTATCCAAGTAGCTTCAACAACGCGGGGTAGCCTCGCCACACAGTCAATATATTCCTCGAAACATTTGCTGGACGGCTTCTTCTGCGTGAGCTTGATGACCGAGCATTAATCTTTCCAGGTTTTGCGGATTGCACCGACGTGATCATGATCCATACCCAACAGGTTGTGGAATAGCGGTTTTGATGTGTAGTAGTTATCCGTGCATATAGGTGGCTTGGCCGGTTGCTCTTAAAGTATAATGGGCCTACTTTTAGTCCCCTACTTCGGCTTACTCGTTAGCGCACGTGTATGAGGAAGCGTATAAGTTGCGTTTCACTTAGATTAACTAAACCTTCGTCTGAAACTTTAGAATTGTCTTAAATAGGGAAGCGAAGCCCGAATTTCCGGTAAAAATGAGAGGGTGTACCTCACTCTCCTTGAATAAAACACCAAGCAATAGCTGTTTACTTGTTTGTTTGGGTTTTCCTCCTAATCTAATATTCTAAATGGAAAAAATATCAACGAATGGCTGACAGAATCCTATTTTTCTAACTAATTAAAGGTATTGACATTCAACCAATGAATACCTTGAATGCATGCCGACCAACAGTCTGTCAAATGTAGCCATTGGTGTATCTCACACCAATGTGGAAAACCTATAGTAGTTAAGTGAAATTCTTGACAACAGCTTGCTGTGCAACACCATCCTTCATCTGCGTTTGATTTAACCACAAATATATCCCTAGTCTCAGCTGCTAATCTTGGCGCCCAGAGTTATTTTCGGAAAGCCCAGAAAGTAAAAAAAATCCGCCAAGGGGACTCCTCTTGAAGTAAGGCCAATAGCAGCTTCCTGAATTCGACCCGGGCCGGATTCCGCTCGTAAAAAACGTGAAAAAACATTTC